AAATAAAATATATATAAATAAAATATATATATGTGTGTGTATATGTGTATTTTGATATATCTTTACATTAAATTATAATAACAAAGAATATAATAACAAAAGAAAAGTAAGTCTTATAAAAAGTCTTATAAATATGTAAGTAATACATATGTATTTATAAGACTTACTTTTCTTTTATTTTATATTATATTCGATTGTGTTACAGATATTTCTAGTATTTTTTTAAACATATTCTTGTAAAATAATGACGACCAATGATAGTGATACGAACAAACATTTTTACGATTTATTCACTTTAAATTTTTCCAATCCATTCAAGTACACTTTAAATAATAACTTGCAAAGGGAAAAAGCATCTGATGTGATTGATGAATTTGAGGAATATTTAAAAGGTATATCTGGAAAATGCCTTGATATTGGTTGTGGACCTGGAGATATAACAAAAGACATAATTTTGCCGGCTCTTGATCCAAATGCAGTAGTAATTGGTAAGAAAATAATAATTTATAGAAAACATGTAACAATATGTTAAAATAAATTGTTACATATAACAGTTTATTATTTAAAAATTGTATAATATAAAGTTAATTAAATTATTTTATATCATACAGGTATAGATATTTCAAAAAACATGATTGATTATGCGAATAAAAAATACAGTGTACCGAAAAAACTCGAATATGACGTTTTAGATATACAAATTAAGAATTTGCCTACAAAATACATATCTGAATTTGATTTTATATTTTCATTCAATTCTTTACACTGGTGCAATGACATGAAGTAAGAAAAATTTTATCAACAAAAATAGTTTTGTTTTCTTTACAAAAATTTTTATAAATAAGCGATGATTAATAAATATGTACAGAATGATGTTTATAATGTGCGTGTAATTAAAAAAAAAAGATTATTTTTACATAATTATCATTATAATATTTTTCAAACTTTACATTATAAAATGAAATAATGTTTTAAAATTAGTATCTTAATATTTGTTTAATATTTTTTCAATAATTACATTAACAGTTTTCTATAGTTTATAGATATTGTAAATATAAATATAAATGTAAATATAAAGATAGGTTATAAAATAAATTATAAAATGATTGAAATATATATGTGATACACAATTAACAGATTTGACATTTTTAGTTAGATCATCGATTTATAAGTTATAAACGTTGGCTTCGAATTATGCTCTATGACTTATGATGTAATATAATGTTATGTTAAATTTATATTAATATTAATTTTTATTAAAT